CTGCTGGATGGCCAAAACCAACATAAAGGAAGTCCTATATAACAAGAAAAATAACTTTTGTATTTGAGAAGGTCAGTCAACTCCCCTCAGGATTTACCCAGAAGCCCTGTACTGCAATTTGTAGATCTTTTGTCAGTGTGAGCCATATGCATGAGTCAGGGCCATTGATTGACCCGTTTTCACTCTGTGGAAACCTGAGAGAATGTTTTCTCTCCATGTGATTCTCCTGAGGCACACTCTACAACACTGATCACTTTCCTCTGTGGCCCCATAATCTCTTTGGTCAGAAAATTTAGGGCATCACTGAGTTACAGGATGTTACAGTACAGGTTCTCTTATGTTCTGAGTCCTCATTGAATTTGAAAAGCTAGGGCCAAAATATTGGCTGTCCTTGTAGCCCTTACTTTTCTCTAATTTTTGGTTGGAAACTTATGTTCCTCCCCCTCCAGAAGAGAAGCTTAATGATATTATTACCCTATAGCATAGGAAGTTGAGCTTAACCTCACTATCTGTCTGAATATCAAACATTTTTGACATAGCATAGAACAGGTATTTTCCATCAAGTATTGATATGTTCAACTTTAAATCCCTACTGAATTTGAAGAAAAAAGCATGAAAAACAAAAAAGATAAAAAAATTTAAAAATAGGAATAAACCATTGCATAATTTTACTCTGAAATTTAGAAATCTAACCATATACAGCATTGTAGCAGGACAGTGCTATGACATGTTTTTCTTGTCTTTTGTTTCCATTTATTACCTTTTTTAAACACACATTTACTTGAGAGACAGTATAGTAGTAGTTGATATGACATGACAAGCAGTACGTATTTCGAAGACCAGAATGACATGTATTTCAAGAATGACCCTAGTATTACACCTTGCTATCTTCAGTGCGGTTGCTTGGTTCACAGGTATCAGCATATATAGTCAGTCAGGGCGATAATCCTGCCAATTAATTTTTTAGCTTCAAAAATCTGCTGAAGATTCTCAACATCATTTCCTTGACCATCTTGTACATGTAAATATATTGTTTTTCCACTGTCATATTTACTAGATTTTCTCCTTGCCCTCTCTTTGTTGGTTAATGCTTAAGTACTCACTTTCCTTTTAATTGTGTTATACATTTCTATACTTATTCCTTGTTGTTAGTTGTTACACTAGGAATACTACACAATATTTACACATATATGTATGGTTTATTTCACTTATGAGTTTATATTCAAATGGCATTCACTTAAATATAGAGGCATTGAGTTTATCAATCCTTATAGCTGAGTAATACTCCTTTGTATAATAATACCACATCTTTTTAATCCATTCTTTAGGTGATGGGCATTTTGGTTGTTTCCAAGATTTACCTATCCAAATTGTGCTGCTGTAAACATAGTTGCACATATATCACTATGATATGATGGTTTCAGTTCCTCTGGGAAATACCTAGTAGTGGAATAGCTGGTTTGAATGGGATTTCTAGTCCTAGATTTTAAGGAGTTTCCACACTGATTTCCATAATGATTGCACCAGGTCTATATATCCACCAGAAGTAGATAAGGGTACCTTTTTCCCTAAAGCCTCTCTAACTTATGTTGTTGGATGGTTTCTTTATTATAACCATCATTTCTAGGGTGAGATGTGATCTAAGTATTATTTTAATTTACATTTCACAGATGGTTAAAGGAGTTCTGATCATTTGCTTCCTCTCTAATACATCTTTTAGTAGTCTGTGTAGGGTTGTCTTTGTCATCATGAAATTCTTTAGTTGTTCTTTGTCATGGAAGTATTTTACTTCTCCATCACACTTGAAAGAAAGTTTTTCAGGGTATAGTAGTCTGGGCTTGAGTTTGTTTTCATAGAAGACTTGAAGTACTCTGCTCCATGCTCTTCTTGCCTTCATGGTTTATGAAGAGATTTCTTCCATTATTCTGATGGATTTTCCTTTAAGTGTGATTTTTTTTTTCTTTTTTCCTTTTCTAGTGGAAAAATAAGGAACGTTTCACCAATTTGAGTGTAATCTTTGTGCAGGGGCCATGCTAATTTTCTCTGTATCGTGCCTATTTTAATATATGTGCTGCCAAAGAGAGCATTCCAGTTCTTTTTACTTCTTTTTATTTTCTTTTTTTTAAATTTTGAGATAGGGACTGGGAAATTGATTAAATTTCCCATGCTTGTATCAAGCTTGTTATCCTACTGCTTCAGCCTTCCAAAGTACTGGAATAAGATGAATGAATCATCATGCATAGCAAAAAATAATTTTTAATGTGCTCTTGGATTAGATTTTTTTATTAATTTAAGATTTTTACTTTTTTGTTCATCAAAGACCTTAAGTCTATTTTTGTCTTTTGTAAGATATTTTTCTGGTTTTGTTTTCAAAGTGTTATGGTTTGTATCTACTTGTTCCTCCAAAGCCTCATGCCAACCATTGGACAGTCACCACTTGAGGGGCAGAGCATGGCTTGAGGGATGTGGCCAGAGGACCAGGGAGGGGCTTGAGAGGCGGGGCTGGAGAATCATAAACTGGCTAGGCCGTGGTTTCTCAAAGATATGGAGAAGGTCATCCTGGACAGGGCAGCTCCCCAGACTCTACTGCAGTGTCTTGAAACCTTCAGTAGCTGTGAGCTAAATAAATCTTTCCTTCCCTCATTTTAAGTGTTGTTTGTCCCAGCAGCAAGAGTAACTAAAACACACAGAAAACCTAGCCTCAAAGAATAAGTTTTGAAGAATTACTTCTCTTCTATGTTTACAAAGTTTCAAAAGAGCTTGCATTAATTCTTCTGTAAATGTTTGGTAAAATTCTGTGTGGAAGCTATTTTCTCCCAAACTTTTTTTTTATGGGAAAAATTTATTTTGGATTCAATTCCTTCCTCATTATCAGTTTGTTCAGATATTCAGTTTCCTTGTGATTCAATTTTGATAATATATGTGTGTCTAAAGTTTTGTGTGTTTCTTGCAAGTTACCTAATTTACTTAAAAATTATTGTTCACAGCAACCTCTACAGATTCTTTGTACATCTGAGACATCAATTATGAATTTTTGTTTCTGATTTCATTTATATTTTGAACCCTGTCTCTGTGCGTGCGTTTGTATGTGTGTATGTGTTTTGGCACGTGTAGGTGTGCATTCATTCTGGCTATGAATTTTTCAAATTTGTCTTTTTTGTAGAAACAGCTTTGTTTCATTGATATTTTCTATTCTATTTTCAAAACTTTCATTTATTTTTGTCACTGGTTTTCATTTTAATTGTAATACTCTCACAGCAGATTTCCATATTATAATTGTTTTTGCAATTTCTATATATTTAGTCTTATGAATTCTAAATCCTATAAAAAAGAAATAGGATGAATCACGACTTGGTTATTGCCTTTTTTCAATTTTCTGACTCTTATTTTACATGTTTTTAGTACATAATAATTATTTTCACTGTAGGAAATTGTTATTTGTACATCAAGCATTTCAATTCTTTTCTTGCTGCTTTCTTGAACACTTTTACTTCCATCACTTTTTTTAGCATCATATTCATTAATTTATCTAAGAAGACTATATAATTATTATATGTACAGACTAAAAAATCATACTAATAGTCCAAAGAGCATATAAAACATTCATGACAATTCTACTAAGATGCATGCACTTTTAGATACATTTTATGAAAGATATTTATTCATTTAAACCAACAAAATAAGTTTTCCATTAAAAAGTAATAAACTTTTAAAAAGAAAACAGCATTGGTTAGTGAAGGCTTAAATATTCACTGTTAATAGTATTCTTCATAACAGATACATGTTAAAATTTTGCAATCATGAAAAAGATAGAATTGTCATTTATTTAAGAAATAAACCAGTTAGGTGTCGGGGAGATGGCTCAGTAGGATAGGCCCTTGACTAGCAAATGCAAGGATCTGAGTTTAATCCCTGTTTCAGAAAAAAAGAAGGAAAAAAACCAGAAAGGAGATATCTGCAAATATGGTTGCTCCAAAGAAGTCACTATTTGGCACTGGGTTTAATGTCATCATAGCGAGTTTCTTCTTCTTTCAAGGACACTAAGGATACTGTCTCTTCCATGAAAAAGAGTGTGGCTTCTTGGGAGACTGAAACAGTAAACGAGAGAGTGGGTTTGAGTGGTAACAAATTGGTATGCATGGTGTGCTACAGAAGTAAAGACTAGTGCAGAAATTACTGCTAGATATCTCTGTGGAGACAGGACTTGTCTGAAATGCCAGATGGACCTGCCTAATAATGGCTCTTTTTGTAAAGGCCAGCAGTAGAGAATGAATTTTAAGTTCAGCATGAGTTTGAACTCATTATATAGCCCAGGCTAGTCTTCAACTCATAGTGAGCCTACTGGTTCTGCCTCCCTAGAGATGGAATTAAATGTCTGTGTTACCACACTCAGCTTCATACTTCCTTTTATCTCTATCTTAGTAATGGATAGAGGAGGGATAGCAAAGGTAAGGCAAAGGAAAGAAACATCAATGTTTCTTACACACCAGGCACGTATGATTCCTTCAGGAATGGAGACAAGAGATGGCCCCTCATGATACCTCATTATCTCAATAATAGATCACAGTTGATCTCAAAATATTCATGAAAATAATTGGAGTCCTCTTTCAAATGCCAAAAGAGAACAGTTCAACCTAATCCTGTAGTACGTTGCTTCTTATGCACCAAATTGTTGTAAATGAGCAGAATGCCTGACCTTGTATGTCAACAGAAATAAAGGAAATAATGAGGAGAATTCGTCTCTCCCTCTAAGTGAAGAAATTTTATGATCATCAAATTAAAGTCTTTTCACATTCTGCATTAATTGTACCTAACATCAACTTCAAAAATATGGTTATATGGCTTCTTGAATGCAATACTTATATCTCATAGATATAATTTACTACTGAAGAATTACAAATGTTTCATAACTTAAAAGAGTG